TTTCTTTTATATCTCTACCACTCGATTTCAAGCTGTGTGCCAACTATCTGCCAGTAAAACTTCACTAACTATATAAACATCTGGTAACTTTCATATATCCTCATAATGTAATACCTCTATCACGTACAACATCTAACATCTCTTACCCTTAACACTGATACACTCTATTACAATATATACTGAATGTTTTACATAATCTCAACAAGTCTTCATTTACCTGTTTCTTAACTTTTACTCATTAATATCTTGATGTTGGGAGATAATTATACAATAACATTTTAAATTCTCTAACAGGACAGGTTTAAATTCTCTAACAGGTTGTGTAATTCCTTTAAATTACAATTGACAGTTTTAACATATTTTCAGGAAAAATTCATCAAAAACAAATATAACAGGGTAATGGTTCAGGTAACATTGTTTTATGTTAGTCTGAGCAGCACATGGTGTCCTTACTCATATAATTATTCTATACTAATTAAAGTTTGCATGTATCCAAATATATATTCATGAATCAAATTTATAAACATAATTATATTAGTCAAATCATTGAATTCTAAAAATATAAGAACTAAAATGCCTCCAAGTATTAAAGGATCTATTTTTGAAGCCAATATTGGTCTGTTTATTGTCTTGGTAAGTTTATGGAATGTTTTGTCAGTGAAGGATGTAATTGATGTGTAACCAAACAGAAGATTCTGAAACAACTTGTGACTGACACAATGTTAGCAATTTTCTAGCAAGTTCTCCCCGTATTTAGACAAAATAAGGCAGGAATTTAGACACAAATCAATACCATTACAGATTTTTTATTCTCTTCTTTTTTTCAGTCTGCAGACCAAGTGGCAGATTACCATTAACAACTGACAAGTGAAAAACAATTTTCTCTGGGCGTAGCTTTTAAATAACTTTCCAAGATAGTTTTTGCATATCCACTAGAGGATATTGGTAATACTTTTACAAAAAAATTCTTTTACAAAAAATGGTAGTCACAATAAAAAAATTCATCTAAAATAGTTTCTGATCTAACCATTAGAGGAAACAGTCATGTTTCACAATGCTGTTGATAGTTCTGACTTTGTTTGTCCATATCATTATTTTGTCAGTATAAGTTTTAGGAAAATTGCTCTTTTTAGACAGCCGAAATGTGAAATAATATTGGTGTAAGTCAATGAGATTGCAAAACATGTGGTCAACCCACTCGCTCCATGACAGTATGACTTGCCTATAAAGTCAGCATAATCAGAGTAACTTACACTTCACTGGTCACTGACCAGCCTGTATACTGTAGGTATTCTCATATTGCTATCCCGTATATGAATAATGGACAGTTCCTAATTCAAAGACTTTAAGTAGGAAAAGTCCACATAGCAGGGTTAGCAAGACTTTTTCCCTCTTTAACAGGGGCCATTACTAGACTGTCAAATAGATGTACCAGTAAGTACTTTCTCCAAACTTCAGTATAATGATAAAATGTAAATTATCTTTGATTATAACATCATAAAATATTATAAATGGGATGTTCAGTGTGACCATAGTGCCACAAATAATGCACAGTGTTAATAGGGAAAAAAATTCCTGAATAAGATCAAAACTGTAATAAGGTCAGGAACTGTTTGGAATGTTACTATTTTAGTTGTTATTTTGTTTGACAGCAACTGTCTGTTTTTGTCTAAAATCTATTTTCAATCACAAAAATGCTTTGGGTGCAAAAGTATTATCTTTTCCTGTTTGTGAATATCATTTTTCTCTACAGCACATCATAAAATGTATTATTTTAAGTCAGTTTAGATGTATTTATGTCACATCTTGTATGTATGATTTAACACAAATCAATAAAAAAATGAGGTCATCAACCATACAGAGGAAATTTGGATTCTCAAGTGTACCGCAAATGAATTCCTGCAATCCTTTTTCTCATGAATAATACAAAATCAATTCTAGATCAAATACAAGGGAATTAAAACTTCAAACAACTCTCAGACAACGCATTCTCTTCTATGAATTTTTTCAAGTATCTGATGTAATATCAGTACAGTGTACATACTTCGTGTTAGAAAAACTTTCACTTAAAATATTGAGCTTTCTTCTACAGCTCTAGATAAGAGAAAACAGTTATATTTCAAGAACTTATTTATTGTTAATGAAAATTTCTGACAGCAGTACATAAACTATTATCTTTAACAGGGAAAAGTTTCTTTTCGTTTTTCATCAAAATAATCTATTTGTTTTGACTCAGAGACAACATTCTTTGTTTATTAAATCTTTAAATTATCACAGGACGATTAATTACAATATCTAAAACTTAAAATATCTGTTAGGCAATAAAGATTGGCATTTTGTCAAAGAATTAATGAAGATTTCTTATAACAATGTATCTAGAATCACGCTCCTCATTTCTCAGGTGTATTATATAGTACACATCTTGTTAGAAAAGGGTACCTAAGACGGCCTAACACGCTTTACATTATTTGCTTATTAAACCAACAAGATTTTTTTCACAAAATATAAATGTGCACAGGATAAAAAGGAATGTTTACATATCATAATATTATGATGTCAGATGTGACATCAGTACACCAAATGATGTCAGGAAATTTCAATTTCATCTCAATGGATGGTCAAAGTGTGTTGTCGTTGTTGTATAATAATGCATGGTTTATCATTGAATGCTTTGTACCTACCAGCCTTTGTGACTATATCCTGCCCATTTGAACTTGAACAATGCATTACTCTACCACAACAACAATTAATGTACTCAAAATTGATTTCTATTGATCTATTTCCTGTTTGATAAAAACAGGACAATTACAAGTTTTGTAAAAGTATATTATGAAGTTTCATATCTTCCCGCCCTACAAAAATATTGTTTGTCAGATTTCCACGAAGTTTCTTTTTCTTTTTTATTTATTGCACATTACTGGAAGTTTCTCTTTTTTTTTCCTGTAAGTTTTGAGTTGATAATTACATTTGAATTTAGAGTATGTGGTAAAAAAACTCTGAAAAAAGGCATTTTTTGGTAACTTGGACTTAATGCAGTATCTGTGTATATAAAAGTTACCTAGTATGGCATTTCTCGCATCATCTAATTGTGCATATAAAAGTTACCTAGTATGGCATTTCTCGCATCATCTAATTGTGTATATAAAAGTTACCTAGTATAGCATTTCTCGCATCATCTAATTGTGTATATAAAAGTTACCTAGTATGGCATTTCTCGCATCATCTAATTGTGTATATAAAAGTTACCTAGTATGGCATTTCTCGCAGTATCTAATTGTGTATATAAAAGTTACCTAGTATGGCATTTCTCGCATCATCTAATTGTGTATATAAAAGTTACCTAGTATGGCATTTCTCGCATCATCTAATTGTGTATATAAAAGTTACCTAGTATGCATTTCTCGCATCATCTAATTGTGTATATAAAGTTACCTAGTATGGCATTTCTCGCAGTATCTAATTGTGTATATTAAAGTTACCTAGTATGGCATTTCTCGCATCATCTAATTGTGTATATAAAAGTTACCTAGTATAGCATTTCTCGCATCATCTAATTGTGTATATAAAGTTACCTAGTATGGCATTTCTCGCATCATCTAATTGTGTATATAAAAGTTACCTAGTATGGCATTTCTCGCAGTATCTAATTGTGTATATAAAAGTTACCTAGTATGGCATTTCTCGCAGTATCTAATTGTGCATATAAAAGTTACCTAGTATGGCATTTCTCGCATCATCTAATTGTGTATATAAAAGTTACCTAGTATAGCATTTCTCGCATCATCTAATTGTGTATATTAAAGTTACCTAGTATGGCATTTTCTCGCATCATCTAATTGTGTATATAAAAGTTACCTAGTATAGCATTTCTCGCATCATCTAATTGTGTATATAAAAGTTACCTAGTATGGCATTTCTCGCATCATCTAATTGTGTATATTAAAGTTACCTAGTATGGCATTTCTCGCAGTATCTAATTGTGTATATAAAAGTTACCTAGTATGGCATTTCTCGCATCATCTAATTGTGTATATAAAAGTTACCTAGTATGGCATTTCTCGCATCATCTAATTGTGTATATAAAAGTTACCTAGTATAGCATTTCTCGCATCATCTAATTGTGTATATAAAAGTTACCTAGTATGGCATTTCTCGCATCATCTAATTGTGTATATAAAAGTTACCTAGTATGGCATTTCTCGCAGTATCTAATTGTGTATATAAAAGTTACCTAGTATAGCATTTCTCGCATCATCTAATTGTGTATATAAAAGTTACCTAGTATGGCATTTCTCGCAGTATCTAATTGTGTATATAAAAGTTACCTAGTATGGCATTTCTCGCATCATCTAATTGTGTATATATAAAAGTTACCTAGTATGGCATTTCTCGCATCATCTAATTGTGTATATAAAAGTTACCTAGTATGGCATTTCTCGCAGTATCTAATTGTGTATATAAAGTTACCTAGTATGGCATTTCTCGCATCATCTAATTGTGTATATAAAAGTTACCTAGTATAGCATTTCTGGCATCATCTGGACGGCAGTTGAAATAGAAGCGTATAATCCATCGTACACCAACAATGAGCCATGCAAACTCCCCCAGGAACACAACTGTAAAATATCATATAACATATATATCATTTCTAATAATCTATAATATAATAATATCATTTTCTATATAGCATCGTAACAGATTACCAAGCTGAAACATGGCCGCTATATTAACTTGTTTATTGCCACCAGCATAAAGCCAGGCCAGCCTACACAATCCATATAGTCAGTTCACCAGACACTTATAATGTACTGTTGACGCTGCCCTTAGGCTAGCAATAGACAATTTCTGTTATAACGGAAGGACATGTCCTGATTACACAAATTCATAGGGGTAAAGAATAATCTAAAATATCACTTCTATATAGCACAAAGATTCATGGTAACATTGGGTATGTAATATTGGATATATTCATTCTGCAATCTTCATCAACATTCATGTTGAACAGTGGTTTTATGTGAGAAGATTAATTACCAAATGAGATGAATGAGTTCATAAGAATACAGAATTCCCAAGAGTAACATTCCATCCAAATGAAATTCTGGAAATCTAAAATAAAAGTCTGCCCAGATTTTGTGAAGGATTTTATAAAATGCATTCACATCACTCTTTCCTCCGGTATAAAACTCTGAGGAGTTATAAATTATTTCTAAGTAAAAAGGTCATTCTTAGTCAAGAGAGATTAAATGCATGTACTTTCTATGATTACAAGGAGTGTTCAAATATGAATGCATCTAGAACATTATATTGTTCAATATTGCTAAAAACATGAAGACATGATATACACGGGTAAATATAAATATACACATATAAATATACAGTATACACGTCAGCTTTAAATTTATTCCATGTTCATTAAAATCTGTTCACTTTAGCTATGTTAATAACTGGCTATACATTGTCGTCTAAGTTCTTGTATACTGTAATACAAAAATGGTTGGTAGTAGATCAGAGTATGCCACTGAAATACCATCTCATATTAAGAATCATTGTCTCCTTGGCATAGGGTTTAAAGACATTTTTAATGAAATATGTTCCATATATGGACAAAGTGAAATGTCTTTTTCATCAGTTATTCATAGATTTAATAAATTCAAATGTGGGTCAGTATTGATTGAAGATGCACCCCATGACTGTCGGCCTCAAACAGCATTGTCTGTCAAAAAAAATCCTAAAGTAAAAGAAATAGTTAATATATAGTCTGATACAAGATACCACTACTCAAATAGCTAGAATATTTTGGCATCTCATTAGGAGCAGCTCAAACCATTCTGATTTGAAAATGAGAAAGATCTGTACAAGATGGATTCCTCATTTGCTGACAGGGATGAGCAGAAATAAGGTTAAGGCTTCTGTGCAATGTGCTAGTTGTTTCTCAAACAATTTTTAAATAACAATGCACAGTCTCTTGCAAAAAATGATTAATGTTGTCACTGGTGAGCAAAAACAAAAACACCAAAACATGATTTGGGCTACAAAATCTGGCAAAAGACCACACATTGCAAAAGGTATGCCATTTCCTTTCTTAACATCTTAGGGTCCCGCCATTCAGGTTGCTAGGATGTTTGGGCTACAAAATCTGGCAAAAGACCACACATTGCAAAAGGTATGCCATTTCCTTTCTTAACATCTTAGGGTTCCGCCATTCAGGTTGCTAGGATGTTTGGGCTACAAAATCTGGCAAAAAGACCACACATTGCAAAAGGTATGCCATTTCCTTTCTTAACATCTTAGGGTTCCGCCATTCAGATTACTAGGATGTTTGGGCGACAAAATCTGGCAAAAGACCACACATTGCAAAAGGTATGCCATTTCCTTTCTTAACATCTTAGGGTCCCACCATTCAGGTTGCTAGGATGTTTGGGCTACAAAATCTGGCAAAAGACCACACATTGCAAAAGGTATGCCATTTCCTTTCTTAACATCTTAGGGTCCCACCATTCAGATTGCTAGGATGTTTGGGCTACAAAATCTGGCAAAAGACCACACATTGCAAAAGGTATGCCATTTCCTTTCTTAACATCTTAGGGTTCCGCCATTCAGGTTGCTAGGATGTTTGGGCTACAAAATCTGGCAAAAGACCACACATTGCAAAAGGTATGCCATTCCTTTCTTAACATCTTAGGGTTCCGCCATTCAGGTTGCTGTTCCTGTAAACCTGTTAATGTAAAATTTTACAAGACAAAAGTTCTTCGAAAAATAAACAAATATTTTTGAAAACGAAGACCCACAACAAGTTTGGCCAATGTCAGATTGCTGTATAACAACACATCATCACACAAGGCATCTATAGTGCAAGACTTTCTGAAACAGAAGGAAAGTTGTTGTGCTCCCTCATCCTCAATTTTGACCTTGTCCCTTGGGACTTCTTAATGTCTCTAAAGCTAAAAAATACCTTCCAGACCAAACATTTGTTCAGCGCAAACTCCTCAGATCTGCAATATTCCAGTGTCTTAAAAAGACTATGAAAGGCCTTCAAAGAATTGATTCAGAGACTGAAACTTTGCATATCTTTTGGAAGTGGAAACATTTTGGAACAAAATAGATATTCAGTGAAACCTATGAGGAATCAAGTTTTATGTACTTAGATGCATTCATATTTAAATACTCCTTGTATAAGCAAGTAAGAACTTTATGACACATTTTATTGAACTCATATAATTATATAGGATGTTCTTTCTGCAAATCATTCCTTTCAGGAAACATCATTCCTTTCAGGAAACTGCTATTCTATTTATACCATGGTGTATGCAATAGTTGGATGCTAATAAGTAAAAATTAAACAATTCAAAGTATTGCTGTCATTGAATACTGATAAGATATTACAAATTTTTAAAATTTGATACATTAAAGTTCTGCAATTTAGATATACCAATTAATTAAAAACCCATTTTTCCCTGTTCAAGAAAGTCAGATCTATCCACTTTTCTTGGCTAGCTTAAACCCTGAATTCAATTTTCAAAGATCAGTGAGAAATAATAATAAAAAAACAGTATGCTGTATTTCTGATAAATAAAACAAGCATAGCATGATAATGAAAGGTTTTTACATGTATTTAAATGATTTCCACTGTGTAAATTATTTAATTTGATACATCATCCAATATTTGGCTTTTATATCAATACAAAATTTTCTATCAATGACACCTCTATTTTAAACAGATATAGATTCCAAGTATAAGGAGGGTGATGTGATCAGCTGTAGCTGTTTGAAGCATCAAATTCTTTCTTAATAATCTAATTTGTGTTAGCTGTTGTCCTAGTCTTTTCTGAACATTTATGGTTTTTTAAAACACATGAAGATGCAACATTTAAGTGAATGGTTAGACTTTATGCAGTTTGTGGGAGATAGACAGTCAGAATAAAGTTTTCAAGTTTAGGCTTACTTATTTATATATAAAAAAATAGGTTAAAGACTAAGTTCAATACTTTTATATACATATAACATTTAGTTTGACTTTTAATCAAACCCTCAGGCAATAAGAACTTTTCATGTGAAAAAACAACAAACAAATAAAAAATTGTCCATTTTATTAGCTAACAGAATGTTGCAGTTCTATTGTGGTGTCCATTTGTGCCTCATATTATACACAGAGGAAAATCCAGTATCTTCTATCACCATTAAAACGGCAAAATCTTCATTTTACCAGCAAAGTGTATGTAATTACAACCCAACAAAAATAATCTTGACTCCAGTGTAACTGATCTGTACATTTTGTATTTTAGCTGTTCAGTTTTAAATCCTAGCCCAGCTAACTTGCAATATAATAAACTTGAAAGTATCTAACCATATATAAAATGTACCATGTTGCTTGTACATTCTTTTCATTGACAAGCTTTGATGCATATCTTAATCTGTCTCTTTATTGAAGTCAGTATCAAATACATGTCACCAAAATAGATATGAAATAATTTTATCATACTGCCTCTTCATGTTCCACAAAAAATAAACTATTAACCAACAATATAACATGAATGAGGGGTCACTTTATTCACTGAATAATGCATTTAAGAGGAACAATCAAATAAGTCTACAATGTTACATTAAAATATCACACCAGATCTTTCAATTTTTGATGTATTTTCCATGTTTAGAGGCCAACTTTATCAATAACAACAAGCTTGCACAGAGACTGGGTTTAATGATGGCACATCATTTATAAACAATTCCTCTATACTACAAACAATCATTGGGTTCAATAACCCATTAAACAAATCCAGCGGAGATTATAAGGGTTAATTAAAGACACATACTGATTGAATATCCCAGGCAATAAGCTAACTACAACTGAGCTACTTGTATTTTAATGTAATAGCTTGGAAGAGAACATGCATCTTAAGAGATTATAATAATATAGATAATGAAACAATGTTTTCTGGGGAAATCCAAGATAAAAGCTTCAAGCATGTAGACCTTGTTCTGATCAATAAATATTACAGCATGTAGCAGGCAATACTAACTGAATATATCAAAAAGTTATTATAAAACAAGACTTATAATTTAACCAATTAATCTTTTTGCTCTTGCTCAAAGTTCATTTGAATAAAATTAAGGAAAATTAAGCATCACAAAAATTAGATAAACAATATCACTTTAATTACATTTCATAATTAATAACAACTCATTAAATTAACTATTGTACCATCGAATCTTTTTTGTGGGATCTTGGTGAATTGTTGTAAAGCATGGCCTCAAGAGTATTTTCTTTTTTTTATTTAAAACACATAGGGTCATGCGAGGTCTTTCAACCTTTACTTTTTAAGGAAACCTCCGATGTATCATTTCAGTAGACTAAGAGAAATATGCAGCGAGTGACAGCTAGCTTATAGCATAAAAAAAGATTGTCCCATGACTTACCTATACGAATATACAGTAAGTACTGCATACTTAGACGTGGCTGTGTCTCTAGAATGCTCCCACGGACACTGATTAATGTTATTATACTCTCCACAACTATACACGCTAATAATATCACTATATATCCTAATACTATATCCTTCAATTCTCTTGAACATTCTGATGCTGGATCAAATTCCACTTTTGAGAAAATATATGACAATGCTCCTAACCTGCAAATAAACAAGTAACAACTGACAAAATGCTATTCTAGTTAGTTATAATGTACAAGACATTATTGTATGGACCACATACATACATAATTATGTTACTTTAAAACATTATCAATATTAAAGGTAATAAAAGTTACGCCACTTACCTAGTAACCTACATAAACTGGCATTAATGATAAAATGTTTGTGTAACCTGGTTTTCTTTTTGTCATAATAATAATCTGATTATGAACTTCCTGAATCATATTATTTTCATTTTTTAAATTTAATCAGACTTTATTTCTACAGTGGTAAAGCTTTTATATTTTCAATTTTTGACCTAGTTGTCTAATTTTGAACATTTGTGTGTATCTTACTAAGATTTAGCAATCTAGGGTCAAAATCAATACAGATAGCTGTTTACATATTATTCTCTTAGGACTTTCAAAAAACAATTTAGGATGTCCTCAATACAATATTGATGTAATGATCATATAATTTAGAACATTTCAATTTTATATTTATTACTAAAACTTTAATCATTTTTATTAATTATAATTGCTGAAATGTTGAATTTTCCAAATTTCTTTATCGTTATAGCCACTTGATTACACTTATAAAGTAATTACTGGACATTACGAACAAATATTCAATAAAGTTTTAACTTCCTTTTCTGCATGTGGCGTAAATATGTTTTCCTGGAATACTTAATAATGAATGAAAATATAATAAACTAAAATGTCATCAATTCTAGTGTGAGTCATGTATTTTGTATTAATAACACCTAATCAATACCTTATTAGAGGCAGAAAGGTGTTACCAATGTTTTACTTGTCTTGCACCACAAGAAAGCTTACCAAATAATATGACCAACCAACATAAATATGGCAGGCAGGACCATATCATCTGATCCTACCGACCATCTTCTACCAAACACTACAATTCCAGGCATTTCTCTTGCACAAAAATATATCCTTCACACTGAAAACACATAATATCACAGAAACGAGCACATCGCGTAATTCTACAGACGAAATTTGTGACATCGATCGGGAAACTGCGCGCGGGTCACCTGTCACCATAGACTGTATCAAGAAAGAGTGGGAAAGTTAACTACAGAAAAGAAACGAAAAATAAGAAAATTATGTCATAACCAGAAACTCAAAGTAAGAAATAATCAGTTTTAATAGAGCAGGCAGACACGTTATTAATTCACAAAGGCATAACATGAATAATACACAAAATGATTATCTTAAATAATTCATACTAGTTACGACAATTCTATTACAATAGAAGTCACATGATGAATAACATTACTTCATTGAATTAAGTAACAGTGACCAATAACAGCAAAATAACTAATATGAATACTACAAATCCGCCAGGTATATACTAGACTATACAATTATACACATAAGCAAGCATTGTACACATATATGATTAACCCCCGCATATACGAGTAGCAGTATACATTGAAAGCTCAAACAAAAGTCAACAAATGTACATGCACATCAAGCGGAAAACATTCATTAACAAAGGAACATGGCGAAAGAAACAAAATACAAGCATACAATACACACAAAATAGAAAAAAGGGTGGGAGGGAGTGGCAAATTTTTATTTTTTCAAAAGCGTCAATCAACAAACGTGTCTTACAAAACTGTAACCAAAATAGCGCCAAAAACGACTATTTATAAGAAAAGGCGTAGTAATACAAATACTATGAAAACTGTCAGCATGAAATTGACTTTAACCTAACAAGGACCAATCAGAAAGCCTGTTATATATCCATAATTAAAAGATTTTATTTAGCAACAAAATGCTTCAAATTATGTATAACCAGAAACTCAAAGTAAGAAATAATCAGTTTTAATTAGAGCAGGCAGACCGGTTATTAATTCACAAAGGCATAACATGAATAATACACAAAATGATTATCCTAAATAATTCATACTAGTTACGACAATTCTATTACAATAGAAGTCACATGATGAATAACATTAACTTCATTGAATTAAGTAACAGTGACCAATAACAGCAAAATAACTAATATGAATACTACAAATCCGCCAACTCCCGGCCAAAAAAAAAGCAAAAAATAGATAAATTAACAAAAAACGAAAGCAAATGAAAATTATACATTACTTTAAAAAATATATACAAACTTTAAAGCGGGCCACACCTTTAAATACATATGAAATGCTATTGCTATTGATAAAATGTAATTGGAGACAACAACCAATCTGTTAATGAAGGTAAATCTCGAAACATAGCAATAATTGAAGGTATGCAGCTTTAAACAAACAAATAACAAACATTAAACAAAACAGGCTAATAGCAATGACAAAATCAAATTGAACAAAATGAAACATTGTGATATTAATCTCAAAATACAAAAGAACAAAGATAACTTACAGATACCATTATCATGTGTTCTATAACCCTCAAAGAAGTACAATACCTTCTTTAAAAGGGAACAACCTAGATGAAATACAGATACTTCCACCGTAGATTACCACAAAAGAATTAAAGGAATAAAATACTTCCTTCAAATTCCGACCTTAATGAAAATAACCCAAAAGACCAATATCACAATGTTCAAGAATAACAATAAAATACAAAGACACTAAACGCACATACATACAAACATATCTCAAGGCAATTTCAAACCCTTAAATAACAACAGTGACTTTAAAAGCAACCTAGTAGATACAAGAAATATGCTTATCCACTATAACAAAGCTTTTT